CCAAACCCAAACCCAAACCCAAACCCCCCCCCCAACCCCAAACCCAACCCCAAACCCAAACCCAAACCCAAACCCAAACCCAACCCCAATATAAAATTTTCATAATAAATAATTAAAATATGTTTATCAAATTTTTCATAATAAATAATTAAAATATGTTTATCAAATTTTTCATAATAAATTATTAAAATATTCTTATCAAATTTTACAAAATAAATTATATAAAAATTCTTATCTAATTTTTCAACCAACAAGAGCTTCGATAATTAAGCTATTTCTTAATTTGATTAATCATAAATATTACTACCTTAATATCTAATTTTAAGTTTTAGAAAATCAGTAGTTGATTCTCCATTAGAGTTAAGATTTACTATACAGAAAATAGTTATATCAATAGGATTTTATATTTCTGGATTATATGCATCATAACCTTTTGAATGTTCCAATTCTAGAATCTACAGAATTAGCAATGCAATAAATATCTCTACCAAGTAGGGGATTAAATTATTTTGGATATTTAAATTCTATCTAAGAACTTATGATAATGATGAATAAGGAAGAAATATGAAACGATAAGAGGCTTCTTCTCCTTCATTTTTTGGATCAAATACAAGAGTATTAAGAATTATTGGATTAATTTTTGGTGCAGAAGTAAATGTTCTTCCATTTCAATTTGATTCATCAGTTCCATCTAATTTAACACCATCATATTCAGTTTATATAACAAATCCTTATGTTGTTCCTTAATCTTGATTTTAAACTCCTTTTCTAACAAGATCAATTACACCATTACTTGCTTCATATACTATTAAATTCAATAATAAAAGTCTCGCTATTTAATATACAATATTAAAATGTATTGTTACCTCCACTAATACGACAATCTGGAGTTGAAAGTAATTTTTTATAATTATCATCTGGGAATATTACTTTAATTTATCCACCTAAAGCAATATCATTTTATGGAGTAAATTAAATTAAATAATCTGCTTCTTCTTCTTCATTAAGAATTGAAGCAGTAATTTAAATAATTACAATTTTACCTGCTTTAAATGGTATTGTGAAATCAAAACTATAATAAATAATTTAATTACTATAGATAATGTTATTAAATATAATTCAAACTTTAGAGGTATGAGAAGTATCCAGATTAAATTGAAACCTTACTCTAGTTAGTTAGTTGATTAGTTAAAAACTTAACCAATTCAAAGCGCTCTTATGAATGTATTATTTAATTGAATATTTAAATTAATAAAAATAACGCTATAAATTTAAATTAAGTTTTGCGGGTTTTCTCTAATTTCCATATTCCTATTATCCTATATTGAGGGATAAATTAAATCATTGTAAAGTTTCTTTTGCAAATGATTAATGAACAATATAGAAAAATAGTATTGAATTTTATAAGGAAATACTTTTGATATGAATCAATAAAAATTCTCTACACATATATTAAAATAGGTATTAATATTCTGTCATATCGGCATAATAATTATTGATGTATAATGAGAAGTTCCAAAATAATAAAAAAAAAATAAACCAATTTCAAAATTACTTAATAATAATAACATTATAAATAAAGCCTATTTTCAAATAGTATTTTAATTGTATTAGAATAGATTATGCAAATTATTATTTTAGCTTACAATACACAAATTAATTAAATTATATGCTTTTTTAATAACACAGCCTTCTATACATAAGGAATGAATTTGTAATGGGATTCATTAAGATGATTATTGTTGATTGAGAACTAACTTTCGTTTTTTTTTTATTCGCAACAACTAATTGTTCCAAAATGTCCTCTTGTATGATTTGAAATAAATTAGAGTTTTTCTTTTATAGATTGTATGTTTTATTACGCAAATTTATCCTTATTCTGATCATTGATCCATTACTCTTTTAACTGAATCCTTTAGGAAGAATTTATTTTCAATATTTCTTTTTGATATTTGGGATTGATTATCAAAAGACTGTATTGATATTATTAAGAATTGTTGGAAATTTTTGAAACCGATAAAGAGGTTTTATTTGGATATTATTATATAAGGAATGAATTGCTGGCAAAATATAACAAAGGGGTAGGATGTGTGTGTAATATGATGCTCTGAGTGGATATTCTAATAGAACTATGGTATAAAGGCTCTAAATAGGAATAAAGGTGGCAATTTGAGTATTGATTTATTGGAGAGGAAAATATACAAGTATGTACAAAATAGAAGAATTTTTTCAGGCTGCAGGAGTATTATCATTTGCTTGGTTTAGCGATATTTTAATACTAATTAATAATTTGATTTTACTTAGTTTCAACCACATAGACAGAGTTTAATCTTGAAATTAACTCATAAAAGTTGTATGAAGGAGTAATTATCTATGATTTTTATCCCATCATTAACTATTTTTTTTCATTGATCATTTGTAGTTTAAAATGTATTTTGTTATAATTACAGTTTTAATGTTCTAACTTCTTTTGTTTGATAATATAGATTATCAATTCCAAATGATTAATCAACTTGTCTCTTGAGTTTAACTAGTTACTAATAAATAATTCAGTTTAGATAAATAGGCTTCTCTAAAAGAGAAGTCTAATTTCTCCTTAAATATAAGCAAAATATTTCATTCCAACTTATGAAATTTGTTTTTAGTGTTAATCATTTATAACTATTGTGCTTGACTTTTGATGTCAAGATTATTAATGACTTGTGGTATTTTTCAGTCTATATTGTTAATTTATTTAATAATTTGATCTTTCTAAGTATTTTTGATAAAACACATTAGAAAGAAGCTTTTTCAAATAAGAAGGATTCATATAAAATTATGTTCAATTATTTACAAAATAAATGGAAAGAAATCAATCTTATTCGGTTCGAAATTATTTACTACTGATCATCTTCTCAATTTCTATTTTAAATTAGCCAATCTCTGTAAGAGACTTTTTTTTTTAATTTCTAATATTGAAAGATAGATTTTTCTGATGCTTTTTCTTACTTTATCTCTTTCCATTTAGAATTTAAACTGTCCATGCATCTCATCCAAGTGAGTAATTTCATAAATTTATCTAAAACTAGGAACATTGATCTTTGTACCTGCTCTCTTCTATTAAGCCATCGTCACAATTGGCTCAGAAACTTTAGATATAATTTGCGATTAATCTGTCAGAATAATAATTAATAACTGGTTGCCTGTACATATGTATTCCCTAATTGAAACATGTGAAGAAAAAGAAGCATACTATCTAATTTTTTCATTCTAGAGACAACATATCCAAATAATCTCTTAATTCACTTACGGCGTTCCTCAAATTACACTTGACTGTCTCAATCATAACTCTTCTAAATCTATCTTTATCCTTTAGAATATTGATAACCTTATTGATATGTGATTACATATGCAAGCTAATGCAAAGCCTGTTTAAAGTAGACTAATAGTCTGAGAATATCTACTTTATAGGTTTCTACAAAAATTTTTCAATGAATTTAAGGAGGTAATGAGAAATCACAAAAATTGCCTACATTAACAATTTTAGAAACTTCGATGATTGATTATTAAAATAAATGTGGCAGATTCTGAATTAGTTAATTGGAGAGGAATATATACGAGTGATTATAAAGCTATTTATAAATAAAAAATCTTATTTAAGTAAGTAAATTAAGATTTGAATCATTAACTTTTCTACCCCTAATCTTAAATCCATAAGTAAGGTTTTAGTAGTTCATTAATCTATCAAATGATTATGATATATTGAGGAATTGTGAGCAGGATGTAAATAATTGAATCCAAAATTTAATGAAGATATTTTTTAAGCTTGATGAGTTCCATCTATTCGTACACCTTAAACAGTTTTATTATAATTACCTAATTACGTAATAAATCGAATTTATTTGGTTTATATAGCTGCTATACTCAAAGAATCGAGTTTAAAAGTATAGTTTTTTGTTAATATTATTTGTTAGTGCAAAACCAGATATTGAGAATACTTTGATATTAAAAAGACTAAATATCTCATAAAACAAACTTTAAAATAGAAAAATGGTATTTTTGATAAGTTAAAGTTGAATAATACTAAATTTTTAATGGATGCTCTAAAATTAGAAATATACAAAAGGGAAAATTAGTATTTAAGAAAATTAAGAGCCTATATTATAGAGTCTGGTTTAGCAAAGGTTTTATCTGAAAGAAAATTAATTTTAATTTGGAGATTATTTGAAAAATCATATATAATTTAAACTAAAAAAAGAAGAGCTACAATACTTACTTGTTTTTTTAAAGATTTAAGAGTGTTTACTTCTTGATAAACATAAGTTTTGGTTTATATTGGTGATTGATGGAAGCTAGGAAACAATAAATAATATAAACCTTTGTTTAAGTAAAATATTTTTTATTTTGTTTAAATTCATGTTTTCATTATCAATTCCAACTTAATTTTATGGTAGAAAGATGATAAAGTAAATTTTTTTAATTCATATATTTAAATATTATAGAATATAATTGTTATAAACTAAAATTTTTGATAAGAATATATATTGAATATCAATAGAATTATAAAACTATATTGATCTTAATAAACTGTGGATCATAGTAGCTACTATTAATAAGCTATTGAATTATGTTCAAAAATCGGATAGTGGATAAATAGATGCTATCAAACATCATTATTATTGAGTTTCTATTCCTTCTAAAAAATAATACACAAATATTCTATTATTACTTTCGAATGTGACATTGTGAGAAGATTCTTATTAAAGTGTAATATTTAATATATAATATTTTTCTACTTGGTTAATGGAAAATAATTAATTTTAAATAAAGAATTTAATCTCTTCTAAATTCTTTAACTTACCCTATAAATTCATATGTTCAAGATTTCAAAAATAAAATATTTATTCATATTTAATTTTCCAATCTCTTATTTTCTTTAGATTTATTATATTATATTACTCATCTGTAACTATAAATCACTAAATGATTGTGAAGAAACTATTAAATAATTATAAAATATAAATTAATCTTAGGCTATCTATATTGTTTGAATTTTTTTATTATATTTCATTTTCGTTATTTTATGGATTTATCAAAATACTCGTTTGCTTTTTAATATTTTGAATTTTTTTTACTTTTTATTAAATTAAAAGTAATTTGGATAAAATACCATTATGTAAGTTTGAGTGTATTTTACTTTAATATATAATAATTATAGATGGAAAAAGATATTATTTATTGATAATTATTTTTAATTTTTTGCAAGGAACTGAATAGATATTAACATATCTATGTCATAAATTTCATTCAATCTAATGAATAACTAGTTATTCTAATTTGTTTAAGCTTAATTATATAAAAAAAAATTGAAATATAAAGGTTGAAAAATAAATGTTTCACTAATTAGAGCTTAATTTTCAAGCCTTGAAATGACCAAATTGGAGAATCGTTTCCTTCTATACTTCTTTAACAAATCCATTAAAATTTCTTTAATCCCAGAATTTGATAGTTTCATCATGATTGCGAGTCTCTATTCAATCTTTGTAATACAAAATCTATAGAATCAATCTTAAGTATATGAAATATGACAATATATTAAAAATAAAAAAAATGAGAAAAGGATATGCATATTATTTGATGATTTTTAATCGTATAATGAAAAAGAATAGAAGAATGAATTAGGTAATTGTTTTATGAATGAATCGTAAGTCATTCATATTGAAGAGCCTAAAAATTACAAATAAGTTGCCATATAGAATATTTTATTTTGGTGGAATGAAATCAACTATTCAAAAAAATGTAAAATTATTATAAAAAGTTAATTTTTAGTGTCTTCTGAAATATATAATTAATTAATTTTATTATTAACTATGTCTGGATCAGTTTTGTGTTTTTTTATTTAATCACCTATTAGATTGAATTTTTATCCTAAGAATATAAATTTAGTATACCATTAAATAATGAAGTAGATGAGAATACTTCATAAAACACACATGCTTTTCAATATTAGAAAATTAGATTAATATTTATTAGTTTATATAATTTGAATTATACTTAATCAAATTTTACATTCTCACAACAAAGTTTAATTTATTATTCTTAATAAATTGGCATCTCAAAATTTTTTAAACAATTTAAATAAATGCAAATACTTTCTTCCTAAGCTTCTCTTGTATAATTTAGTCATCATCATCACTCTACTTTAACAAATTTCAAATGCGTATAGATAGTTCATTGTGATTAATTTTGAATTGTAGGATTCGAAAAATTTCAATTGCTCAATTGCTAGTGAATTCACTTAATATATTGTCTTAGCTTACATTCATTTATTTTCCTTAAAATGTATTTTAATTTATCTAAATATTTTTAGAGAATTCATTTTTAAGAGAATTTGGAGGATGCTGGTTCAAATATACATAGCTAATTTAATATCTTTAAGTGTAACATAAATAGATAAAATATTTTATGATTAGTACCTCCAAAACCGAGATGATATCCATTTCCATTCTTACAATAATGCTGTTAATTTTAATTTAAAGAAATTAAAATTGTAATTTCAGGTAATTTTTATAGGCAAATGAAATCAGTTTTTTACTTAATTATATTACATTTTAAGAAAAGAATGTTAGTAAGTTTGAATATTGCCATATCACTTATTTAAATTTTTAATTAAGGATATTTACTTTAGATTCTTTACACATATTGGTTTTTAAAAGAATAATATTCCTGTTGTATTATATAATTTCTTATATCTATTTTAAGTAAACACGTGATGAATTATGACTATTGCTTAATAAAAATTGCATATATATATAAAATTTTATAAAAACAATATTATATTAAAAAACATCTTATAAATTTAATTTATTGCAGCTAAATAATGATAATTTCTAAAATTTTGAATTCTAAATTTTTATTTTTAAAATCAAATTTAATCGAGATATTATTCTAATCAAAGTTCAATAATATTAATAAAAAATAAAAATGTCAACTTAGTCATAGTTTACTTTTCAAATTCATATCATAGGCTCTACTTGGTATCTTTATTTAATTATTCTTACTTAGCATTGGCAAAACAGCTATATCATAACAATATTTATATTCTAAAAATAAAAAATCCACAATCTTCACTCGGAATAGATATTAAAAAAAAATGTAAGTATAAATAATCAAATTGTGACTCTTTAGGTAAAATTAAAATTAACTTTAGATAAGGGATGGGCCAGGTCATGAAAAATATTAACTAGTTTCATTTATTAATTAAAAGATTGCTATATCATAGTCATTGATAATAGAGATAGGGACCAGATATAAACTTTGAATCATTGGAAAAATTTGTTTAATAGCATCACAGATGATCCAGAAAATTTTCCTATCAAAAATGACTTCGAAAAGAATGATGAAACATTAGAGAAATTTGGATGAATAGTGGTGCAAATAAAATAGAATCAAATAGTTTTTTAAGGTATCTGCCAAAGACAATCTAATTATTAATGAAACATTCTTAGATATTATTAAAATAAAGTTTAGATGTGTTGAACAACAGTAAAAGGATATTAAATCAAAATGATGTTTTTCCTCAAGTATTATCATCTGAAAACATAATTATAAAACAATAATAAAAATTTAATATGTAAGAAACAATTGAATTAATTCAATGTTATAATTAACATGAGCAGGTACTTTAGGCTTAAAATACTTTAAGATTAAATTCGAATTGCTTAGAGCGATTGAATTCAGAAGTAACTATTGATTATGGAAAAACTTAACCGTCTAACCAGTTATAATATAAATTAGTTTAAGAAGTTAAACAAACTATATGGTGTCATGCATTAGCATTAATCATAATAAATCCATTATGGTAAGTGGTTTAAACAACTGCATTAAAATATGACAATTTTAATAAGGATAATTGTTGGATAAAAATTTAATCTTAAATGGTCATGAAAAATTAATAAAATGCATTGTTTTTAGTAAAAAACATATTTAGAATGAGGATCACAAGATTAGAAACTGAAAAGAAAAGTAGAGTTGGTTTTCTTCTAAAAAAACACATTCAAATTGGGTAATCTAATTAATTATCAACTAATAAGAGGATGAATTGATATCTTGCAGTGTTGATAAGAGAATTAAAATTTGGAGACTTTCATATGATTAATTCAATTGAATTTATTGATTCTTTTGAGAAACATTAACAATAAGTAGTATCAATAAGTTTAAATTAATTTTAATAATAGTTAGTATACTGGAATGAAGATTAATAAGTTATTTTAAGGAAAAGAACTAGCAATTTAAAAATATTATCCTTGTGCCAATTCAAGAAATAAATAGAAGAGCTAGTTTACTTATGGATAATTAAATTAGATGTAAAACATCTTAAGCAGAGATAGAAGGTTATAAATTAGTAAAAGATTAAAAGTAAGTATTCGATTTTGAATTTAAAAGTTATGACAGAAGCTAGTAGAATTTTAAATTGTTTTTAACATTTAAACTTAGTTAATAGTAATAAAGCATCATAACTATTTTTATTTTATTTTTTTAAATTTAGGTGATTTTAGAATGCCAAAAAGAAGTATTTCAGGCCACGATAAATTTAAAAAACATCCTTTCTAAATAACAATGATTAGATTAATCATAAGTAATGCAACACTATAAGAAATATATCAAAAATATTTAGTCAAAGTGAATGAAAATGGAGAGGTTTTGATGAAAATCCATTAACTATTCTTTTGTATTTATTTCTGGAATGGATAACTAAAAAGAGATTTGTTTTGTAGTGCAATAGAAGATTTGAAATAGTACTTTCTGTAGTTAGATGAATTTCGAGATCGATAATAAATAAGTACAGATGCTAAAGGCAATGAAATAGTGAAAAATACAACAGCGCTAAAATGTAGAACAGAAAAACTGCAAAGTATGATGTATTAACAGGATTTAGTGCAATTTTAACATCTAATTAGAATCTGTACTTCAGACCTTCATTTCTAGTGAATAAATTTGTTCATATAGTGGGACAGATAGAAGGTAAAAAAAGAGAATCTTAGGTATGATTTTTAATTTAATAACAGATTTACTTTAAATTCAAGTCATATCCACTGCGTTACCAAGTAGTGTGAATAGAACTAGTGTAAGAAATCAACTCTGAATCAGGAAGAGTGAAAAAAACAAGATGATGCATCTCAAGAAGAAATGACTTAATCATTCGTCAAATTAGACTTTAAAGGAAGCAGAATGAACATTAAATTTTTTAAGAAAGTTATAGAAATTAAAGAATGAAAGGAAATAATAATCTTATTGATCCAACTAACTTATATTTTTTATTTGAATCGATTTGAAAATTGATTTGCTGAAACGTTAGACAACGAAATAGCTTTATCCGGTCTCCTTACTTTTTCATACCGATTTTAAAGATATAATTGTCCAATTCAGCTTTTGTTTGATATTTTCAACTTATTATTGTATCATTTTCTCGGAAGTTTTTGGATGAATTTTATAAAGCCTCTTGCCAGATTTTAAGTATTTACATCTATTGAATTCTCCCTTTTAATAGGCACAGATACCTAAATATATGGGATTTCCAACGATTCAACTTTTAGTAACCTTTTGACCCAACATCAACCCTACTTAGTACTTAGTATTACAATTCTAGAAAAGAGTGAATATTCAAAAGCAATATGTAATCAGAATTCAAGTAAATAATATTTTCTAAAGAATTTAAAAATCTAAGTTCTCACGAATTTAAGTGATCCACCACCACTATATATATTTAATTATTTTTATAAAACAATAATATTTACATTTATTTATTTTCCTTATCATATGTACAATCCATAATATCCCATCTCCCTACCTTCTAACCAGTCGTATTATATTCACCATAATAAGTAACTTATTTAATATCAGAAAATGTTTCATATAGTTCTACCCACTTTCCAATCTTCTAATTTCCTTCTTAATAGTAGGATCCCCCACCGCTTTATACATTATTTTAAATTCATAATATTTACATTTATTATCCTCCAACTTAACAAATATCCCATCTACCTACCTTCATACCATTCGTATTATATAAACCATTATAAGTGATTTAAGTAGTGTGGTTAAACCCTTTAAACAATTCTACCCACATTCCAATCTTTTCTTAACTTCCTTCTTAATCATATGATCCTCCGCCACTATATATATGTATATTCTTATAAATTTAATATTTACATTGATTTATAATCCTTCTCACCATCTTTACAATACTTAATATCCCATCTGCCTATTTTCACACCATTCTGATTATATTCACCATCATGAGTGACTTCCTTATCATAAAACCCTTTAAGCAATTCTATCCATTTTCCAATCTTTTTCTCATTTCCTTCCTAATCATATAATCCACCACCACTTTATATATTCTTCTAAATTAATAATATTTACATTTCTTTATATTCTTTCTCATTTTATTTGCAATACAAATTATATCATCTACCTACCTTCATACCGTTAATATTATACTCACCATTATAAGTGACTTATTTATAATACTAAAACTTTCGATCCAATTCTGTCCACTTTCCAATCTTTTTCTGATTTCCTTCTTAATCATATAATCCTCCACCACTTTATATATTCTTTTAAATTAATAATATTTACATTTATTTTTATTCACCCTCATTAGGTTCACAATGCATAATATCCCATTTACCTACCTTCATACCATTCATATTATATTCTCCATTATAAATTACTTTAGAAGGGTGGTAAAACCTTTCAATCAATTCTACCCACTTTCCAATCTTTTTCTCTCTTCCTTAATAATCATATGAGCCGCCACCACTATATATATATTGTTTATTCTTATAAATTTAATATTTACATTTATTTATAATCCTTCTCACCAATTTTACAATACTTAGTATCCCATCTACCTACTTTCACACCATTCATATTATATTTACCATCATAAGCAAGTTATTTCCAAAAATTAAACCCTTCATCCAATTCTACCCACTTTCCAATTTTTTTCTGATTTCCTTCCTAATCATATAATCCTCCACCACTTTATATATTATTTTAAATTAATAATATTTAAATTTATTTATATTCGTCCTCATCATGTTTACTATGCATAATATCCCATCTTCCTACTTTCATACCATTAACATTATATTCACCTTTATAAGTGACTTTAGCATAATACGCAAACCCTTCAAACAATTCAACCCACTTTCCAATTTTTTTCTAATTTCCTTCTTAATCATATGATCCTCCGCCACTACATTTATACTTCATATAATTACATTTATAAATTATTATAGTTGAGAGTCCAACCTCCAATTCTCTTACCTTTTGAGTAGCAACCAATTTCCAAAATATTTTTTTTACTACCATTAATTATGTTATTAATACTCCCAATAGTTTTCGCATAAGTCAACCCAATTACCTTCCTTTTCTCCCATGATGTTGTAAAAACCACCTCCAACATGTTTTCCTTTCCAAAAATATTTCCATAATTTAATTTTATTCCCTTTCACTCCGTATTAACCTTTAAACTTTAAATGTTTTTATTATTCGATATTATAAATTATTTCATAATTCTTATACCTCATATAATTCTTTTCACTAAATATTTTAAACTATTTTTACATTCTCAAAATTTCACCATCTTTTTAATAGATCTAATCTCCATTTTGTAAAGTCTTGAGTTCAAACATAGTTTGCTTTAATTAATAATCAAACTTCTATAATCCTTAGAGAGGAATGATTGTTTCTTCAATTAATTGTTAAGTACTATCATTTGTATACAAAAATTTACAAATTTAATTCCAAATTTTCTGTCAAATGGCAAGCTTTATACAGATTTTAAACTATTCTATCAAAAAGCCCACCTATATTTTAAAGTTAAAAACTCAAAAAGGATTTTTTTTTCATCCATTCTTCAAAATTAGTTCCTTCTAAGAAATTCACTAAAAAATCCAACTCAGAATTTGAACACTCAAATGGGTTTAAATCTTCTTTTATCAGATTTAGAAATTTATTATCCATCTATTTTTCACCAACTTATATTGCTAAGATGGATTCCTTAATAGTTTAAATTATTAAAGATATTTCTTCTTAAATCTTATCTAAATGGCTTAGTTAGCATTTGAAATTTTATTTTAGAAAATTTTATCTTAATAGAGTTTCCATGTAGATTTGTTAAGACTTTCTAAGTAATTATTTGACAAAATCATCTTTGGTTAAGATTTGCTATGGATGTATTCCATGTTTTGAGACACAAATCATACAAATCTTTCTGAAGGTTTAAAGATTGTTTTTTCCCTTGTAAATACCTCCTATATATTGATCAGGGTGATTCAAGCAATATATCATTATTATAATTTATGAAAAGTTTTCAAGGCGGAGTTTTTAATTATAAAAAAATATACAATTTAAGAGGTTTTAAGAGTTGAAAAATTAATTGGAATTCTAATAACCAAATAAATCAGATTCTAATTTTATAGGGTTTGATTTTCTTATCGTGAGAAGTATCAAACTTATTATTGATTTTATTTAAATATTGTTTCCCAAAAATTACAAAAGCATTAAATGTTTAATATTTAGAAAATTATCTATAAATATTGCAACATGTAAGTGTAACTTGTTTTCATTGTAAGGGAATAAAGAATTGAATTAAAGAAAAACCTAAAGGAAGTCTAAAAATCTTTTAATAAATAAATTAGATTGAGAAAGAGCTATTTAACTCTATTATTTATTTTTCAAATTTACTCAATCAAGATTTTTTCTTTTGTGTTATTTTTAAAAAAATCCTAATTCATTTGTTTTAGAAAATGAACTTGAAGAGATAAAATTTAAATAAAACACAAGAAAAATAATTGATGAATTACACATATTATAATTTATTTCCTTCATGTTTTCAATATTGAAATTTTCAAGATGTTCTAATATAATGAATTTAAACGTTTAATCACATTACCATTATTTGATATAATTGATTTAGTGATCTCTGTAATCTTGTTAGAAAATGGAAATGGAGTCTATAATAAGGATTATAATCATCATAAATTAGATTTTTTAAAATACATCTTCTCATCTAAATAAACTCTTTTGATATACATATTAAATAAACTTGTATAATTAAAATAGAAAATTAAAAGTTAGTGACAAAGAATAATTTTGTATAAAACACAGTTGTTGATCCTCATTGAAAATTGACTAAATTACAACATAATATACTAATTAAATAAAAACTTAGACTATCAAATTACTAAAAAGATCATGATTACCTCATAAATGCAAAAAGATTAAATTTGAGAGATTCATTATAGATTCAACGTCAAGAGTTTATATTTAATCGACTCTGTTTGTATATAAAAGTGATGGAGATAAAAAAGTAGAATCAAAAAATAATTGTGCGAGAAAATAAAATGGTAAAAATTGTTTATATAAATGCTTCAATAATAAAAATATTATTATTAAATAAAATAAACTATTATATCACAGAAGAATAATTATATGTTGAATTTAAAAATTTTGGTAAATTATCTTTGTAAGATTAGACAGTTATGATTATGAATTTCTAAAATAGATATCCTTTTATTGGAAAGTCTAAACATTATGCTTTCATATATTTTTCATCTCAAGAAGAGGCTTGTAAAGCTAAAAAAGGTATGAATTATAAATAACTTTTAAGAGAGCCTATGCATATTACTTATATATAAGAATACAAAAAAGATGCTAATTTATTATTTAATTGCTTTGAATTGACTGTAACATTAAAACAACTTGAAGAATTCTTCTAGTTGTTAATATAAAGTTATCTACTGATGAAATTAAAAAAATTAAGGTAAAATATCATATATTTAATAAGGTTAAGGATGGGTGTCTATTTGCATTTGTTCTAGTTAATTATATTATTAAATAATTAATATAGTTTTAATAGACATCAAGATGCTAAAGAATAAAGAACACTTGGTACAACTCAAAAAAAGGATCCTTTAAGTACTGGTAGGTTGGATGGGCTTAAACCAAAAAAGATAGAAAATAATATATTTGCAAAATATGTATGCTGATCATCTCTCAAGAATGTTACTGAAGAAATTATTACAACTACTCTCAAAAGAATGTGGATATGGTAATATTTAATTGGTAATCATATTATTTTATTATTTCATAGATTAGATTAGAGAAAATGTAATAAGGATTCTAATAAATTATTAGAATTGGATATTTTGTTTTTGTCTAAGCTTCATATACTAATAAATTGGTTAAAAATTTTAAAGAAATTAAAAACCTCTTTGATCCAAATGTAGAAACAGCTTGCGTAAATACTTTTAACATCTTTTTCCTCAATAATCAATAATCTTAATAAAGAGGACACCTAATAGAAGATTGTATTCTAGGCCATCCCGCACTTGTGCTTAAAGAATGTCATATTCTCCTAATTAAATGTATGAAGAATGTAAGATAATGGAGGAATGAAAAGATCTTTCCCATAATAAATTCAAGGATTTCCTTAACCTTCTAGGCAAAATATACCTCTCTAGTTTAAAAACCAGATATACAATAATAAATTTCTCCTTAAGTACTTCCTTTCAATAAAAGTTAAGTTTAGTTGATTTGATTTGATGACTAATTTAGAAAGTTTTAAAGCTTAACCTTAAAAACATCAGATAAATATAGTAAAATTTTTTAATTATCATTTTTAAACTAATGTTAATTATGGAATTTAGGCAACCCCAATACCGATGTGATTAAATTATTGATATGTTTAAAGAAGAAGAATAATTCAACTCTTTGTAAATGAAGCTATAGAATAATTAAAAGAAGCATCATGATAGGTATGATTTTATAGTTTGCTCATAAAATAAATATTAATAATGGAAAATTTATTCAATTTGCACTCGAAATAATATTGTATATAGGATTGAAAACTAATTTTATGAAATATAGTTAATATTATATAAATTATTCTAAATATGATGAGATTAATTTAAATCTATCCAACAGCACCCATTGCTGCAAATCCAATAACACATGATATTGCAATTTTAATATATTCTATATCCAAAAATTAAAGGGACTTCTTTTCTCTGGTTTTGTGCATTTTCTAATGAATCTATTTCTTTCTTATCAAAGAACTTTATACATCATATCATTTTATTTTAATTTTTGAATTATACTTAATAATAATTAAGTGATATAATTCTAATATATGTGTAATACTTATTAATAAAATATTGGTATAAATATATTTAATCATTTTGGAAATACATGATTATCAATCTTATTTCTGTTGACCAAATTCTATTCCCTATATTGACTAGGACCTATTTTTATAACAGTACTTACAATATCCTTTATATTATGCATCATCCAATTCTTTCTTTCTATTAAAAACTCTCCTATTTTATCTAAGATTATTGATATTCTTATTATTTTACAGATCTGTATTTAAAGATATTAGAATTCTTATTTTTCATAAATGTTATTATACTATTGATTTAATATTATATTTAATACATTTTACAATGAGTATCATCTTATTATTGTTATTTATACTACTGATATTCCTCTAGTCTTAATCAACTTTGTTTGCAATTTTTAAATCTTCCTTACTGTTTTAATCTACTTCCCAACCTATTTTGTATCCTTGTCTATTATTAATATTAACTATTATATTAAACTATATAGTAATACTATTAGGAAGTTCTAATAGAGTTCTTCTACTCTCTGTCAAATAGTTCTTGATTTTTTGGTCCTGTTCTTGTCTAATAATTACTTAAATATTTTAAAACCATTGTTAATCTTCTTTATTATATTTATTAAATTAACATCGTTAATAATAATCATTATTTTTATTTTGATGATTGTTTTTTATTACTTTATTTTCGTTTCCTTCGATTTTTCCAGATTCTATTAAATAATTTATAATCCTTTAAAAAATCTCATAAAATAACACTTCTTCTTCTTTATCTTTGAATTACTTGATAGTCCATCTTATTTCATTTATTCTTTTAGATTAACTAGATTTTATTTCCAAATCACTCCTATAACTCTAAGCTAAACTCTTATAATTCTTATTTTTTACAATCGTAATCTATTTTAATTTAGTATATCTTTACAGCTATTCTATTTTCCAAAATTAAATTTCTAATTCCAAAAGTTTATTTCATCCATAATCATTTGTTACAATTAAAGCATTTAATGAAAGACTTTTAATATTAGTTAAATAATCAGACCAATTAAACTAATCAAATTTTGTAATTGATTTACTCTTACTATTGTTGCTTAAAAATGATCTATAAGTTTTCTATTATAAAACTAATCTAAATCTATTTGAATTTGACAAGTATATTAAAAGGTTACATTATTATTTATGTAATGACTATAATTACCCCCAATTATATATGAGTCAATATTACTTTTTTAATGTCTCTTTTAAAAACTAATTATATTTATAAATTAAATTACTTATGTTTGAGAGAAGATTCTTATCTTTAAAAATTAAACTCTTAATCAAAAGCTTTACTCTATTCTCTTGTAATTTCAATAAACTAAATATATAATTCGAATATTCTTGTTAAGAATTAATGCATTTTAATCATAATATTAAATAATTATTAATAAATATATAATTAATTGGTTGTATTAGCCTTGAAATAAATTCCAGAATAATAATATGAAAATTGATTCATCTAAAAGAGTTAATATACTACTTCTATATCACATAATATATTTATATCATAAACAAGTTATTCAAATATTTCTATTTCATTCATTATATCTTTAAATCTCTTAATGAAATTATTTTATTTTCTATTAATTTCCTTCTACTTTCACATAATAATAATTAATTATTATTTATATAATTATGATGTATTTTTAAAGTCGTTAACTTTATAAATTTTTCAGCCTAATTTTTAATAAAATTGAATTCTTTATTTAAAATAATCATAACATCCTTCTATAAATCATTAAATTAGTGGCTTCTATCTATAATAGAATTTAATTTTGTAATAAAATAGTTTATTTCTTCACATTCTTATGACCATTTATGTATTAAATCCTAATTCTAATAGAATTTATTCAAAGAAATGATTATGAATAATTTTCAATTCATAATGATTAACATTATTAAATTAATTAATAATATCTCTTGATATACTTATTAATTCAATCAGTTTTATTGATCCAGGTCTTACTCTGAAATAAAATCATATGCAAAACAATTAAATTTTGAAAGTTAAGGTTTATCAGTATGTTATGCTTCACTTAAGGAGTATCTTTTAAAATTGTTAAGTGGTAAAAAATTTAATTAATAAATCATTGGTTAAACTAAATTGTAACAATTTTAAATTAATTCTCCTTCTTACTCCATCATCTTCAATCCTATTCTTTGATAAATCAATCACTAAAACACCTAATTTAAGTAATATCAATAAGGCTTATCCCAAAGCTTCACAATTTTTCTTTGTAATTGAATTATTCCATAATATCAAATTTAATTATTTTAATTTCTATCATTTCGATAAACTTTTTGCAAATTCCTCCATACCCTTATCCTTTATTTACAACTCCATAAAATCAATTCACATACTCTAATTATGATATCCCTCTCCTAATTCAAATAATCCTTCATTACATAGAGGGTAACTAATTTATATAGATTATTTAATATACTTTTAAAAAATGATTATTAAATGACTAAAATATGGTAATTTTTAAAGTGATTGATTAACCATCTTTGATAATACTTGATTTATATTATTGGTTTTTAATTTAAGATCAAGCTTCTTTAAATTTTGGTATTGCACAAATAAATGTGAAAAATGCTTCACAACATTCTATAGGAAGATGGTTACTTCTACTAACAATAGGTTAATAATTTTTATTGTTAAATTTAAGTAATTATAATTTTCATTTATTTTTATCATAGTTTTATGATATCTCTTTATCAAAAATATTCCATTTATATTTAATTCCCTAAAAGAAGTAATGAATTATTTATTCCTTCATCAGAAAGCATATTGTTTGATACTTCTAAGTTTAACCTTTTCAATCTCTTCATCTTCATAATTGCCTTTAACAACATTAAAAAACCCAAATTTCTTAATCTGTTCCAATGATTTTAGACATATTTAAATACTTTCTTAATTATAAAGTTAACTCTTCAAATTATCAGCTTTACTTAATGATCTTTCTAATGGAGCCCAAAAATAGTGGCTATCAATTACTTATTATTATACTATTAAATTAGAGATATGACTATATTAAATTACTTATGGATTGAATTATATCTTAACTAAATGTAGAAATGAAGAAAAATTTTTAAATTATTAAATTTATATGTTGCAATATTTTTGTTTCAAAAGAGAGAAATTAACTATCATTATTAAGGAATTCAAGTCAGATTTATATTAAAAGTTTGAGACTGTATTAAATATCTTTAACTAAATCGTTTTATTTGATTCAATATTTGATGAATTGATTAATTAGATTAGTAAAAGTAATGTTTCGAAAAAGAACATTTAAATAAAGGGGAATATTCCTACTAAATCAATTGTTTCATTGTAAAAAGATTTCTAGGGCTCTATAATAATTAGAAGAAAATAGATATATCTTAATTGATATTTAAAGAAAGTGAAAAGGAACGAATTTTAAGAAATAAATATCATAAATCATTTAATTCTTTATTTTGAATGATGGTTGGCTGGCTTAAGGTTAAGGTTTTATTTAAAGTAATGATTTGACATAATATAAGAACAATTTGTTAAGGGTAAGTATTATCAAAAATATACCTAATTATTTCTGGTAGCGAAGATAAAACAATATCATTTTGGATGAAATAGGATTAATGGTTGAGTTAATAAACCATAACTGATCATACTAATAAAGTATATTCATTAAGCTTAAATGAACAACAAAATAAATTGATAATTTGTTCAGAAGATTCATAAATATTAGTAATAGAATAGTAACAGTTGGTTAAAAAATGGATTATTAGATAAAAGATAAAAGTAGATTAATCTGGATTTTGATTATGTTTTATTAATGAAGATTAATTTGCATTCTAACCTTATAGTAAAGAATTAATGTATCTATATGAGGTGGATAGGATAGTAATACTAAAGAGTATAGAAAGACGAAGGAAATTGCTGTAAAATTTGGTTCAAATGGTGATTGGTACTTATTTCCATAATAATACATAAAGTCCAAATGCCTCCTGGTGAATAAGAATGGTAATCATGTTAATTTAATGAGAAAGAAAGAAAATGGTGACTTAATACTTTAATAATCTATTGATTTTGGTACTTCTGGTATTTATGGATAATTAAGTTGTGATGGAGAGTTTTGGATCACTTGGAATTGGATATCAAAGGAAATACATATAAGGAAACTTAAAGAATTATGAGAACTATAAAAAATAAATTAAAATATGTAAAAATATTTTAATTTATTTTTTATTTTATTTTTGAATATCATCACCATTAAATTGGTCATCATTTTAATTGATTTAAAGATTTCACAATCTTAAAATAAATTAGATCCAGTGTTGAGTTTAAAAATCTACCTAAATAATTGTGTAGATAGACTCTCACAGAAAATATTCAGTAATATTGGAGCTCTCTACAGAAATCTTTTCATATTATAAGATTTGACAAATAGAATTAGGTTTCATTTCAAACTGTAATTAATTATAGTTGTAAGAAATATTTCCAATATTTGAAATTTTAGAATTTTTAAAGTAATAGAAATATAATTAAATGTACAAAATGAATTATTCTAATCAGAATAGTGTGATAGGTCAATAATCTACTAATTCTGAGGAATAAACTTTTGAATAAGAAGTTGAGGAATATAACTAATATAAATGTATGATTGAGAAAAGAAAAATTCAAATAAACTTCCATTAGGATTAATAAATCATATATTCATAAAATGGAACCATTTTGAGAGTGTAAAATATATTTATAACTTAAAACATAGAGTATAAGGCAATGATGCTTTTGAGAAACCAGAACTATTTAATAATATGGATTAAATCCACAATCTTTCATGGTAAGGTTAGTATGGTAAAAAGCAAAAAAAAACTGATAAATGGATTGCTTTTTGGAATAATGAACTTATAGAGAATGTTGGTGGATATTATTATGAAGGGTAAAAGTTAGGATTATGGAAAGATCTATTCCCAAATTATTGGAGGTAGGTTATTATTAAAAAATATGAATAGTAAAGCATAAATTTTCGAAATTGGAGAATTTTATGATGATATTAAAATAGGGAAATGGAATTATATTTATTTGGATGAGAAGATGTATATAATTTTGAAATTTTTTAGGGGAGGTGGCTTTTACAACAAAAATGGTTAAAAGTAAGGCAAATGGATTGAGCTTGACAAAGGGTTTTATATTGAAAAACTAGTCTATTATAAAGGTGAATATAATAGGAATGGAGCAAAGGTAGGAAGTTGGGATATTATTTACAAGATGTGTAAATATTTACCATATAATTAAATGTATATATTATTTCAGTATAAAGTGGGGGAATAAATATGAGCATCTAGAGGCTATGGATCATATGATTAAGAAGGAAATGAGAAAAAAATCGGAAAGTGGGTAGAATTGTTTGAGGGATTTTAATATTGTTCTTAAGTCACTTGTAATGGTGAATATAATAAGAATGGTATGAAGATATGTAGATGGTATTTTATGTATTGTGCACCTGATAAGGATGAATATAAATAAATGTAAATATTAGATAAGGTATAAAGTGGAATCTAAATAAATATATAGTGGTGGGGGATCATACGATTAAGAAGGAAATCAAATAAAGATAGGAAAGTGGATAGAATTGGTTGAAGGATTTTATTGTGAAAAATAAGTGTATTATAAAGGTGAATATAATATGAATGGTATGAAGGTAGGTAGATGGGATATTATGTTTTGTAAATATAGAGAAACGAAATATCAAATAATGTAAATATTATCAAGTATAAAGCGGAATATATGTATTTATTTAGTGCTGGTGGATCATATGATTTAGAAGGAAATTAGAAAAAGTTTGGATAGTGGGTAGAATTGGTTGAAGAGTTTTATTGTAAAAGATTAGCCTATTATAAAGGTGAATATAATCTGAAAGGTATGAAGATAGGTAGATGGGATATTATGTATTGTAAACCAGATTAGGATGAATATAAATAAATGTAAATATTAGATAAGGTATAAAGTGGAATCTAAATAAATATATAGTGGTGGGGGATCATACGATTAAGAAGGAAATCAAATAAAGATAGGAAAGTGGATAGAATTGGTTGAAGGATTTTATTGTGAAAAATAAGTGTATTATAAAGGTGAATATAATATGAATGGTATGAAGGTAGGTAGATGGGATATTATGTTTTGTAAATATAGAGAAACGAAATATCAAATAATGTAAATATTATCAAGTATAAAGCGGAATATATGTATTTATTTAGTGCTGGTGGATCATATGATTTAGAAGGAAATTAGAAAAAGTTTGGATAGTGGGTAGAATTGGTTGAAGAGTTTTATTGTAAAAGATTAGCCTATTATAAAGGTGAATATAATCTGAAAGGTATGAAGATAGGTAGATGGGATATTATGTATTGTAAACCAGATTAGGATGAATATAAATAAATGTAAATATTAGATAAGGTATAAAGTGGAATCTAAATAAATATATAGTGGTGGGGGATCATACGATTAAGAAGGAAATCAAATAAAGATAGGAAAGTGGATAGAATTGGTTGAAGGATTTTATTGTGAAAAATAAGTGTATTATAAAGGTGAATATAATATGAATGGTATGAAGGTAGGTAGATGGGATATTATGTTTTGTAAATATAGAGAAACGAAATATCAAATAATGTAAATATTATCAAGTATAAAGCGGAATATATGTATTTATTTAGTGCTGGTGGATCATATGATTTAGAAGGAAATTAGAAAAAGTTTGGATAGTGGGTAGAATTGGTTGAAGAGTTTTATTGTAAAAGATTAGCCTATTATAAAGGTGAATATAATCTGAAAGGTATGAAGATAGGTAGATGGGATATTATGTATTGTAAACCAGATTAGGATGAATATAAATAAATGTAAATATTAGATAAGGTATAAAGTGGAATCTAAATAAATATATAGTGGTGGGGGATCATACGATTAAGAAGGAAATCAAATAAAGATAGGAAAGTGGATAGAACTGTTTGAATGGTCCCCAAAATATGCATAAACCACTAATAATGGTGAATATAGTATGAAAGGTCAAAAAGTAGGCATTTGGGTTAAAATGGATATAGGCAACAATGAGAAAAGAGGAGAAACCAAATACAATGATTGAAAATTTACAAAAGCCTAATTTAAATATGCAACATATAATAGCATTTAATTGATTTTTAATAAATAGGACATAATCTTCTTTAGATATTTTGATTTTATAATTCCTAATATAAAAAAAATAGGAAATAAATATTTGCTTTTATTCTTATAATTAAACACTTTCCATTCTGAATCACATTTAATCAGTCTTTTTTCTAGTAATTGATGTAATTGAACGCAAAGAACAATAATAATAAGAAATGCTTTATATTAGTTGAGAACACAGAGAGGATTTTATTCAATATATTTATTAATGTCTTAAACCATGCATAAGTATCTAATCTAAAGTCAAAACTTAAACTACTTCTTCAGATTTTATTCTTTCAAACGACTTTGAATTTACAGTAATTTCATAAGAAACTATAAATTGAAACTTTTCAGTCTATCATAGAATTAGATTTTTACTCTTAGATTATTTATTGATGAAAGCACAATAGTTTTTTATCCTTAATTAAATTTAAATATCAGTCAAGCTCGTTATCAGTGTTAGAGCCTGCAAAAGGATTTTGTACTATAATTTTAATCCACGTTCTAGGGTCTTTTAAAGTAATTTAATTATATTATTCTGCTTTATTGGTTTTTTTTAATAAAAGGTCTCTATGAGTGAGTTCTTAAAGAGTATTTATTGCATAAGGTTGCATCCTTTTAAAGTTTAGGCTTTACAACCAAATTTAATGTCATTTATATTTTTAAAGAAGGATTATTATAGTTCTCTTGCCAATCTAGCTTGAAAACTGATTTACAAATGTATAATTCTATTCAATTTCATTCACAACTACTTAGATGAAATCATAACTTTTAAAATCAAAATTTCCTCTTGATTGCTATATACAGATGTTCATTATATATGTTATGGGACTACAAAGCAATTATCTGAATCAGAAAATTATAGATTACCTTATCTACATAATCAATTTTCAATATTCCTGATCATTTATGTAAAGAAAATTTATGAGAAGGTTTTTTTATTAATTCTAATAAACAATAGATGTACTCATGAAGGAAATAAATAAATATCCTAAATTTATCAATTGAGTATTTGAAAAGATTGGAAGGAACAAATAAATAATCAAAAAGATTAAATTAGTTAAAATAAGGGAATTCGAAAAAAGTTTAAAAAACATTCTTTAAAATAGCAGATTCAAATATTTTAATTTAACTAAATTATTCCAAAAATCATAACTTATAAAAGACATAAAGTTTGGATAAGTATTTTATATTTATTAAAAAAAAAGGTATCTAGTATCTTATCTATTCAAATTTCCTGCCAACATAAACTAAAATCATTATTGGGTTCTAAGTTTTGAATAAATCTTTGTGAATATTTCTTTTAAGCATAGTGTGATCGGTTTAGGGTCGACTCTATGTCGAAAGCGTGTATGTATTGAAAATAATATATTCTTCATTGGAATAGATTGGTGATATTTGAAGAGATAGAAGAATCTCATTTCCATCCACATCATTTTAACTATAATACATAATAGAAGACAGTAAAGATTCAATAAGTGCAAAAAAGACGGTTTGTCCTCTTAAATATTTGGACTTAAGATAAAGAATTGAATGATAATAAACATTATAGACTTCTTAATTCAATAAAAAAAAAATACATCGACCTAAAGTAATGATATTAGATTGTGTTAAAAATATTTTGCCTCTGCATAGCTAATGAAATATTTTGTAAGTTTAAGGAGAAAACATATACATCTGTTTACTGGAGCTGGTAAGAATGGGATCAAAAAAGATTTGAGATCTATGCAGATCACTTGTTAATAGAGAATTTAATATGAATTATGAGATGATTTGTAGAAGCCTTATTTTGTAAGATTTTACTTTAACCTATGTCGTTAAAATTTTTAATAACTAGAACTGATTTAACTATAAAATTAAAAGACAATTTAAACTCAATTCTTGTTTTGAAGATCTTTGTTTTATATTCTTAACTAAATATAGAGGATAGATTGGAAACCAGAGAATCAAATTAAGTTCATTTATCAAGACATTATCAGAATCTATGGACATAAACAAGAATTATTAATTAGATTGTTCAATATTTTATTTCGATTAGCATCAGTTTACAACGGTTTGTTGAAAGTGAACTAGAAACTTGAGCAGTAAATAATTCAATATTTTATGATTAAAAGATATAGTTTCTGGTGGGGTAAGAGCAGTTGATAGAGAATCTATTTACTCTACAATATTTGTATTTTGTTATTTTGTATTAGGATAACTTTCGAAATATTTTAAATAATGCATTTTCAGAAGTAATAACAATTGGAATGTTTTGGAACTTATAATACAATTGATAAATTTAATATGGAAAGATTTATATGAACAGCCTGGTTTCATTCAAAAAAATTTTAACCATATCATTAATTATAAATCCAATTGTTTTTGATGAAAACGAAATTAGATATTTTAAATTTCTTCGATCAAAGTTCATTTGAATACCAAATTTTAATTCTTTCCTCTTACCAATTTTAAATAATTTTTACAATTAAACCTTACATTTGTAAGAGTGTCTACTCTCCAAGCATTAAGTTAAATATCCCATCATACTGAACTAAATCTGAATTTATTTTACTTGCCAACATTTCTTCATCAAAGCAATTTATACAAATGACCAATTTTTTTATCTCTATTCACACTATAAGTATTTTTTGCTAGCTAATCATATTAATCATATTTTGAAATTTAATTAAAGCTATGGAATATGAGATCAACCGATAGGATCTGAAAATTCCTTTACCCTTTATTTTGTTTTCATTATCATATTAATAATTGTTAAAAAATATATTATGCCATTTATTAAACTGTTTATAAGCAACGAAACTTTCTGCAGCTACATTTCCTATACTTGTTTTTGTGGCTACAGCAAAGGTTCCTGTAATTCGTCTAGTGGAAGGAATCTAAATATATACAATCACCTAATGTGAAAGCAGTAACTGAACTTGCTACAATTCCTCCTAAAATTCGTTTGTTCTTCACATTGTCTCAAATCCAGATTTCATTTTTGCTGCGATGATTAATCTCTTCATTAATTGTTATTGTTTATGGATTAAATTGTTTTAAATCATCGATGGTACTTTTTTTTGGAAAAATTTATTTAATTAAAAAGAAATTTTTTATAGTATATTATAAGGTATTTCTTGTTTAAATCAGATTATCCAAGGTCTTTTTTTCTGCTAATATAATTCTTCCATAGATTTCACTATCAGGAAGAATTCTTAAGTTAATAATTGATATTGGTCAAATTTAAGAGAAATTTAATTCGATATAAATTATTAAGAATAAACTTAGAAGGTTTCTCAATTATGATAATAATTTATGATAAATTAGAATAGTTTTTATACTATTTTTGTTTTTGATGGTTTAATCAGCAATCTAACCTTATCATTATAATAAAATAAAGAATCTGATTAATTATTTTTTTAGTTTTTTCTTGGATAAAAGGATGATGTTTTTGAATTAATGGCAACAATTTATCAAGTTATTTGTTTCGATTATATATTCAATAGTTATATTTAGAAAAAATAAATTAACATATAGTGTAACAGTTAATAAAAACGCACTTATAAAATAAAT